AGACGCTAAACGGCTCGGATTGCGATACCCCTGCAGAGATTTGGAAGACCTACTGTGAAGCACTCGTCAGTAGCAAAGAGTTTGGCCATGGCGCACAGGGCGATGGCGTCCTCCCGCTCCTCCTGCAGCGCCTGCGCCGCATTCCGTACCATGAGCCGGGCCGCCACCAGGAGCGTCGCCATCTCAGCCAGCCTGAACTGGAGGTACTGCCCGGAAGGAAATAAGACAGCACGTGAGGGGCCAGGTTAATCCAGAGGCTCACTGGGGTCCTGCTGCAGGGCGAGTCCCGACCCCTCAGTTGGGGCCCTGTCAGCGGCAGATTTGGGGCAGGGCGAGCGGGGCGGCTGCCCCGGGCCCCGTGCTTGCAGAAGCCCTGCGCATGCGCCGTGTCAAAGGGGGGGGCCCCGTGAAATTGTGCTGCCCGGGGCCCTGCGGTGCTCTCATCTGCCCCTGGGCCCTGTCGTGCATCCCACACCCCATCCTTTTCCCCTCAAGCACCATCCCCCAAATACCTCTCACTCCCCTAAGCTACTCCCCCACGCTGTCCTGGCAAGGCCCCCATCTGTTCATTTCCTCTTCAGGGAACTTTCTAGGAAGGACTTCCCTTCACACGAAGCTCAAGCCTCTCTGATGCTGCCCCAACTCCCTAATTCCTCTCTCAATCTCTATACTTTCCTCCACCTCCTTCTGGAGCATTTGTCTTTCTTCATTCCTAAGGCCAACAAATAATGACCGGGAACTGTTTTTCGCACGAGGAGAGAAAGCCCCCTCCCCTTACCGCCACTCAAACCTCTCCCGGGAGGAGATGCTCTAGAAGAGGGTGTGAGAACCCTCTTGGTGCGTCAGGCAAGATGTGGGAGCGCTGGCTACTTGTTTATGCAACAGCCCAAGGGGTGCAGCGGTGGAAAGAGCCTCGCTTGAGGACAGAAAAGTCACCTGGTTACTGGCGAGGGGTTCCCCAAACTGTTTGCGGATGGTGAGATGCTCCTGGGCCAGGAGGACAGAGGCATGAGCAGCTCCTAGAGAACAAGACGCTGGTGGGGAAAGCCAGGGGCACAGAGTGACTATTACTTGACTAACAGAGAGGTGACCACTGGCCCCCTCCCTTCCTCCTTGCTGCCATGCTTACCAATGTTGATCCTCCCTCCATTCAGGCCCTTCATGGCAATGTTGAAGCCCTGCCCTTCTGCGCCTAGCCGGTTGGCGACAGGAACAGCACAGTCCTCAAAGATCACGGCCCGCGTTGGCTGGGAGTTCCAACCCACCTGGGGAAGGCAGGAGTATCTCACAGACTGTCTGGAGGCCTGGGACTTTCAGCTCCCCACGAGAGAAAATACCTCATGTGACCTACCAGTCATAATGCCATAATCTGCTGGATCTGTAAAGTTTAGTTTGGTGTGTGTATCAGTCTCGTATGTAAAGTTGGAAAGGTGCAGTATGGGATGGTTTATGGTTTTAAATGTGCAAATGAAAACCATCAAGGGTGCTTCCCTCAATGTCTTGATGATCACCTCTAAACAGCCCCCTTTGTCCTTTAAGTCTGAGCAGAGGTTGGTCTCCAGCATACATGTGAGCATCCCAAGTAATTTTCCATTGAAGGCGGGGGAAAGAACTTGAAGTTCCTGCCCAAAGTGGAATCTATAAAACAATGGGAAGCGAGCTGTCCCTTTGTCTTTGTCACTCCCAAGATGCTGAACCAGAGACCCCAGGGAAAACAAACAAACAGCTCTTCCCTGGCTTAGAGGTTTAGCCGAAATAAGAACCGTTTTAGGGGAAGCTTGTAAAAAGTGATAGAACAAGCTATGCATTTTTTGTTATTTTGAATTTTTTTGAATATTTTTGAATGTTGTTATTTTGAATACTTTGCTCTGTTTTCACTTACAACCACGCAAACCCTACTGCTTGCACTTAATAAAATCACTTTCATTTACTATGAAGCCCAGCATAAGTAACTGTTACCTGGGGGAGCAATCCGTGTGTACATCCTCCTTTCGTTGTTAAAGGGGATTTACCTGAACAGCTTATTTGGGGTTCTGACCCCATTAGGGGGTTGGGTTCCTGGAAGCTGGGCCCAAAACGACATTCTCCTCAGACCTGAAAAGATTTAGTGTCTGCCTTGCTCTTCAGGGCGGGCAATGATCTCAGCTCTGTGCCTTGGCTGGTGGCCCCCAGGTGAGCTGGCCCAGCAGGACAAGGTGGTGAGAAGCCACAGAGATCAAGCAGGCGAGTGGCAATGGCTTTGCTGGCACACCAGGAAGCAGTCCCAAGGGCTCTACTGTGACTGGTCCCCGTCACACTACCTCTCCGGCCTTTCTGAACGAAAGGGTTGCACGTGCATTGCCCCGTTCAGCTGGATTTTGACAGTAACTTTCAGGACAGTGGAGGTGACCCAGTTTTAGTTTGTTGGATTTGTATTCCAGACACCTGGGTTCAAATCACTTGGGTCATGGTGCCGTGGTCTTCAAAGCTCTGGCATGCCCATGCAAAGCACCACATAGTTTGGGGGTCTCGGCTCAGGAGAGAACCCATGTCTAGCTTAGCCAGAGGATCGGAACTGAGCCAAGCGATGCTGCTGGCGAGAGAGTCGAAGCTCTTGCGCCTGTGAAGCTGCGGAGGGGCCTGTCTGCACCATGCCTTACCCTGACTGGTTTGGGAAGCTCTTAAACCTCACAAGCAACTCAATCCCCGCGCAACAGACGTGCAAATGTCTAGAGAAAAAGTGCAGCCCCAACGAATCTATATCTGCGGCAGGCTTGGCAGACCTGCAGATCAAAGCCTTCCACCCAGCCGCATAGCGGACACAGCACAAGGTTTCCCTGCACTGAACGCCCTCAACTCTGCCCCATGTCAGGACACTGGATTATCTGGAGCTATGGTGCAGTGAGGATCGCAGACTAGGACGGTCCAGCTTGCCCAGGACTGGTCTGGTGGGCCTGTTATCTGATCAGACAGGGGCTCACTAGTGGCCTGCTCCAGCTTGGCCCGACTCTGCTGTGTTCCCCACCTCGACCGTGCGTATCTCACCTTCCTCTCTTTCTTGCCAAAGCTGAGCCCTGGAGTTCCTTTCTCCAGCACCAGGCAGGAGATGCCCTTGGGGCCAGAGCCTCCCGTGCGACACATGACCACATACACATCGGTGTCGCCACCACCACTGATGAAGGCCTGGCAAGGGGCAGAGGAAATGAGACAGCATTAGCAGGTAGAGAAAGCCAGCCAAGCTTGGGAAGGAGGGGAGACGCTTCACTCGGCACCACGTGCAGAAAGGCAATTCGGAGTCTTGTGCATTGCTCTGAGGGCAGAGAGGAGTCACTGAATGGAGGGTGAGGGGATCAAAGCGCTGGAGGAGGAGGGCAGGGAGAGGAGAGACAAGCAAACAGAACCAAGCGGGGGCTTGAGGGACTGTGAAATCACAAGCTGGACAGATGCAGCCTGGCAAATTGGGGCGGGATAACCACCTCCAAGTACTGGTAGTTAGGGTGGAGGAATTCCAGGGAGAGGAATCCTTCAGGATGCTCTGAGGGGACAGTGATAGGAGCAGCGGCAGGAAGTTCAGGAAAAGAAAACTTTACGCTGAGCATCCGGGAGACCTTCCCCACGGTGCGATTTAACAGGCAGCGGAACAGAGTCCCCAAGCGAAGGGGCGGATGCTCCACCACCACGGGACATTTACGAGCAGAACTGAACAAAGCCGTTGGAATGAGCAACTGGAGAGCATGTGACCTAAGGGGCTGTCTCCAGTGCCACAAGCCGAGAGGAAAAGGCAGAGATGCGGTGAGGAAGGGAGGGAGATGTGGTGAAGACCCTGTCCCACATGCAGCGTGCCTGGCGGGTTTCGAGGTGAGAAAAGCTGGTACCTTGGAACCGTTAAGGATGTAGGTGTCGCCTTTCCTCTTGGCTGATGTTATTAAGGAAGCTGCATCACTTCCACTTCCTGTCAGTGGGGAAGGAAAGGAACCAATGAGATAGCAAAGCTGCCTCTTTCCTCTACAGATTGTGTGTTCACTTGCAAGGATGTGTCAGACTCAGGGCCAGGTACATCCCTGGAATCAGAGTGTGAAACTCCAACTGACCTCAATGGGGGCTGTGTCCCCTTGCTACAGAGCTGAATTTGTCCCCAGTGCCAAGCAATCCAAAGCAGGATGGTCAAACATGTCATCATGCACTGAGGAAAATATTATGATGTGCACCAGTATGCAGACGATGTGGGACATCACCTCCAGAGTGGTGCACATGACAAAACTGGTTCTGCGCATGGACGATTTGTGGCAGGGGTGCGACTGAGGGGCTTGGAGTGTGGGAGGAGGCTCAGGATTGGGGCAGAGATGGGGCTGGCTGGGGGCGCAGGCTCTGATATGAAGCTGGGGCTGAGGCGAGCTGGCACAGAGGGCTGGGGGGTAGGCTCTGGGCTGAGGATGAGGGGTTTCAGATATAGGCTCTCCCAGGAGAGAGGGCTCCCCCAGCTGTTTCTTACCACACAGCTGCAGACCAGGTGAGAGGCACCTTTCTGGTACTCTGGTGGGGTTGGGTTAGCCTGAGGTAAAGGCACCTGTCTCCTGGCCGCAGCAAGTCCATACTGAGGCCGGTGGGGAGCAAGCTCCTCTTCCCTCAGCCATAGCAGCTCCATGTTGGGGTCAACGGGGCAGGGGTGGCGCTCTGCGCTGGGGGAGAGGCATCTCTCCGTGTGGCAGCCCTGAACCCCTGCGCAATGCTTGTTAGGCAGCTGTACAGCTTACAGGGAACTTAGAGATCCTGGCTGCCCATGGCTTTCAACAAGAGAGCTCAGCTCTGCATGGCTGTATTTATCAAAGTGCCCTAAACAGAGTCACCCTCTTACCTCAGTATTTCTCCATTTTGTTTAACCAGCCTTGGAAACTGGAGCTGCAAGCCAGTCAAAGGGGGTCCAGATTTGTTGCATAGTCTGCTGATCCCCGTGTTGAATCCCACACCCGACCAAGGCACCTTTTCTAGCTTCTGCTCACTTCACTCAGTGAATCCCAGCACTTATCCCACCATTGCTAAATGCATCACCCTTGGTACAGACACCCCAAAGCACAAGCCACGTGGAGCACTGGACAGCTCAGAGCAACAGAGATGGCGTTTCACTTCCAGACCCTTGGAACTTGTGCGAGTGAGAGTGACTGACACAACAATGCTGGGACGCAGGACAGCAAGGGGATAGAATGATTGGTACACGAAGCTCACCCGGCTCAGTCAGGCAGTAGGAGGCTAGCTTCTCCATGCTACACAGCGATGGACAGAACTTGTGTCTCAGCTCCTCGCTCCCAAAGGTGTCAATCATCCAAGCACACATGCTGCACCAGGAGAGAAGGGGCGGGGTTATAATGCCTGTGCACAAGCACAGCCCTAGGAAGGATGATCACAGAATGCTCAGGCTGTGGGTGTGGAGGTTTGGATGTTGTCAGTCTCTTCTGGAACTAATCTAACCTAGCCCGGAAGACAGACACTTCCCCGCACTGAAACTGAATGAAGCAACCATGTGCCATCAGGACTGGCTCAGGGCCTCAACCTTCATAAATCATCTTGGAATCAGCACACAGGGCTGAGACAGCTGCATTCTAGTCTTAACTCTGCCACCGACTCAGTGCAAGGCCTGGGGCAAGTCACTGCGTCTTTGTACATCTTAGCACCTGTAACAAGGGTATGGAGATAATTATATTAGTATGAATATTGCAGCAGTACCTAATAGTCCCAATCATGGACCAGAACCACTATCTTGAACAGTTGGGTATCATCTTCAATTTTGCCACCTCACTGTTTACCCCTTTGTCTAGATCAGTGGTCCCCAACCTTTTTGGGTGGTGGGTGCTGCGCGGGGCTGCTGGGCCACCCAGGGGCGGGACTGGGCCACCTGGGGGCAGGGCCACCCGGGGGAGGGGCTGCGCATAGGCCGCGCACCCGGGGGTGGGGCCAGGGACGGCTCTAGGTGTTTTGCTGCCCCAAGCAAAACATTTTTTGGCCGCCCCCCCAGGACAGGCACGGAGGAGGAAAGCGCCCCTTTCTCTTTGACTCCCACCACACTCTCCGGCCAAACCCAGCCTACGTCCTGTCTCCCCTCCATACACATCCCTGTCCACACACATCCCGACTCCCCGCCCCCCATGCACGCACGGAACCCAATTTCCACCTTCTCTCCCCTCCCAGGCAAACCCAACCTCTCAGTGACTGGACCCAGTCCACCCCTCTTCTCTCCCCCACCTGATCCACCCTGTACCCTCTTCCCTCCCAGCCAAACCAGATCCCGACCAGACCCAGTTTGCTCCCCTCTCCCACCTCCCCCCAATGACCGAATTCCGTCTCCTTTCCCTCTCCCCACCAAATCCTTGTGTCCCCTCCCCACAGCACGCGCGGAAATGTCGGAGCACTCTGGGGGAGAGGTGAAAAGTGTCACGGGTCCCCCTACTTCCCTTTCTCTGCAGCTGTAGACACCTTTCGCCGATGTGAAGTGGGGCACCGCAGGCGCCCCTCCCCTGCAAGAGGAGAGAGAGGAGCCGCCAGGCCAGGGCTCGCCTGCAGCCCCTGCAAGGGATTCTGTGGCCAGCAGCTCCCAGGGGGGCTGCGGAAGTGCGGAGGGGCCGGCGTGGTAGTGCAGCTGGCTGGCAGCCCTGTACAAACACCTGGGAGCAGGAGCGAGGCAGAGCGCTGGGTGGGGCGCTGCCTGCGCCAGGGTCCAAGCTCCTCATGGAGCAGGCGGAGGGTCTCCTGAGCTCTCCTGGAGCTGATTAGACAAGAGGCCGGAGGGAAGGGGATAGATGGGGGAGGGGCTGAAATCAACAACAAGCGGCGCAGCGTGGCAGCAGTGCGAGTGGGGCAGCGCTAGGCGGGTGCACATAAATGCCCTGGCAGGCGCCATGGCACCCGCGGGCACCGTGTTGGGGACCACTGGTCTACACACTCAGAATTGGTCTCAGTACAGACCTTTGGGGGACCCCACTAGTTACCTCTCTCCACTCGGGAAACTTACCATTTATTCCTACCCTTTGTTTCCTGTCTTTTAACCAGTTATCAGTCCATGAAAGGACCTTCCCTCTTATCCCATGATCACTAAACAGAACCCAAGAGCTCCCAGCTTCCAGCCCTGTGCTCACATCAGTAGGCTAAAGTTCTTTTGTGAATGGGAATTAGGGATGCAAAAACTTCCTAACATAGTTAATGGGTTAAACAGTTTGTTTAACTGGATAACTACTGGCTGTGGACTCAAGAGCTGCTCTGGGCTTGGCCCATCATGGGTGGCGGAGGCTGCTCCAGCTCCATGAACTCAGGGCTTCTCTGACCTGCCATGGCCACGGTCCAGCGACTAGGCCACCGTAGATTAGCCAATAAGGCCAATAATAACTGGGTAACTGGTTAGCCATTTAACCTTTTACCTCCCTAATGGGAATGATTCCTTCTGGTGTCTGCGGAACTGCAGCCTGATCGCTAAGAGTAACCAACCATGTGCACACTAATAGTCCCTTACAAAATGAAATTCAATACCGACAAGAGCAAAGTACTGGACTTAGGAAGGAAAAAAGTCAAATGCATCATTACAAAAAGAGGACTAAAAGGGATCAAAAATTGACCACAAATAATGAGCGATACACTTGTAGAAAGGGCTAATATAATTCTGAGCTATGTTAAGAGGAGTGTTTTCTGTCGGAATGACAAGGCTTCAACTACAGTACCAAGTCCAGTTCTGGTGCCACAGTTAAGAAAAAAATATGGGAAAACTGGAAAGGATGCAGAGGAGAGCAATAAAAATTAGAGAAGATTTAGAAAACCTGATCTATAAGGAAAGCTAAAAGATCTGGGCATGTTTAACCTTGAAAAAAGCAGGCTGAGCAGGGAGCTGTTAGGAGTTTTCAAATATGTTAAGGAATGTTATAAAAAGGGTGGTGATCAATTGTCCTCTGTGTAGATCAACAAAGGTAGATCAACAAATATAGGCTTAGACTGGAGCATGGGAGATTTAGATTAGATATTACTGAAAAAATTCTAACCATAAGGATAGCTAAGTAAGGGTGGCAATATCCTGGCCCTCCTAAAAAACCCTGTGATCCCCCCCAAACTCTCTTTTGGGTCAGGACCTCCAATTTGAGAAGTGCAGGTTTCCCTCGTGAAGTCTGGATAGTATAGGCTAAAAGCACACAAAAGGCCAGGTTTCACACGAGGGCGCTAGATTTCACAGCCTGTGACACGTTTTGCATGACTGTGAATTTGGTAGGTCCTTATCTATAATCAATGGCGAGGTGACAGGAGGAAGAGCCCCAGCATTCTTAGCAAGTGTTGTTCAGCAAGACTAACCACCGATGCTTAGCCAGTTGTCCCACACTCACTTATGGATGCTCAAGTAGGCAGTGGTGCTGGCACATCCTGTTGACAAAGCCTCAAAGATGATGGAGGTATCGAGCCGTGACAATCCCGAGCCACCTACATCGGGTTTCACATAGATCCCACCAAATCCCAGCTGGGCTGCCTTCCGCATCGTCTCCACAGGGAATATCTCCTATGGGAGGCACAAAGGGGGAAAAAAGGCATCACAGGAGACCAAGGGTGAGATGAGCTTCTGGTGATAATGAGCCCTGAAGGCGGGTTCTGAACTTCCACAGAGTTTAAGTGGGCAGGTCGGCAGCTAGACAGTCTGGGGAGCAAACGAAGGTTTCAGACTTGTCCTGCTGCCTATGTGGGTCACTGACGGCAGCTTGGTGCCAACTGCATCAGCATCTCTACAGGGTCTCTTTCCCCCTCAGAATTGAGGGGGAGGAGCCACTGAGGACAACACTATCCTCAGGGGTAAGGGGTATATTGGGGGAAAAAAAGAAATCACGAGTCTTTCAATGCAGGCAAGACGCTCCTGAGGGAGGAGGAGGGGTAGGCTGAAGGATCCCTTTTGTGGGCAGGCAGCTGGCCTCTGCTCTCACCTTTTCATCCCATTCTACCATGTGAGGGGCCATCTCCTTGGCAGCAAAGTCGAAGGCGACCTTTTGGAACTCCTTCTGCTCCTCTGTCAGGCCTGTGGAGGCTGGAAAAGCAGGAGAGAAGCAGATTCTTTCAGGGGATGGGGAAGGAGGCTGCAAACCTTTCACTTCCTTCATATCCAGGACAAATATGAAACATTGTGGGTAATTATTAATAGTCCAATATCTCTTAGCCCTCTTACCTACACTGTCCCACTGTGGTATTGCAGGCATCAGTCACGCATTCATCAATGCAGAACAAATGCCTCAGCTTACTGCTATGAGGCAGTGGACTAGCACAGGGAGGGACTGCCTTCTGGTAAAACAAAACCAAGGTCTTGATCTCTTGTAGTCATTGGGCATGAACTGCAATGCATAACTAAAGCTGTGCGTCTGGCCCTTTACTGGTGTTTTATGATCCATAAAGGCAGCCTTGATATACTACAGCAGTGCTCTCCAACCTTTTTACACCCAAGATCACTTTTTAAATCTCAGAACAGGCGAAGCTCTACCGCCCCTCCCCTTCCTTGAAGCCCCTCCCCTTCCTTGAAGCCCCGCCCTCTCTATCCTCCTCCTGTCCATCACTTGCTATCCCCAACCCTTACTTACACACTCTGATAAAGTTTATTTTTAAATTATGCGATACATACAATTAAAATCACGTGTTTATAGTTATGAAATAAATGGTCTGGTTTTTATTCATGCTATTTAAATCTAAAATGAAGCATTTATAATTATACATTTTGTGGGGACGGAGTACTGTGGCTGGGGGCAGGGGAGAGGGAACAGGGTGCTGGGAGGGCAGAGGACATGATTCTGCAGCAGGGGACAGAGTGACAGTGGGGACAGAGTTCGGGGAGTGGGGACGCGAATGGGGACAGAATTCAGGGAGTGGGGACAGGGGAGTGGGGACAGTTCTGTAGCTGGGGACAGAGTTCGGGGAGTGGGGACAATTCTGTAGCTGGGGACAGAGTTCGGGGAGTGGGGACAGGAATGGGGACAGCATTCTGTAGCTGAGGACAGGGGAGTGGGGACAAGGGAGTGGGATGCCAGTGGAGGCAGAGAGTCCCCTACATCTCCCTCCTCCCAGCATTCCCCCCCTCCCCCGGAAACCAGCGTGTGCCTGCCCCGGGGCCGACACCCCCCAGGGAAGCCCTGTGCGCGCGCCTTCCCAGGCGGCCCCGCGCAGAGAAGCCCCCCGCGCGCTCACCTGCCCCGGGGCCAACCCCCCGCCGCCCTCCTGTGCAGGAAAGCCTCGCGCGCGCGCGCGCGCCTGCCCAGGGAGCCGACCCCCCTACCTGCGCCGGGAAGCCCCGGGGCCAAACCCCAGCGTGCCGGAAGCCGACACTACCTCCGTCTTCTCTGGAGGTAAGTAGTGGGGCTTCTGGGGGGTGGGAGGGAAATGGGGGCGGGGCTTACAGGACGCCTCGCGAGCAACTGGTCGAGGCCTCGAGATCGACCAGTAGCTCGGGAGCGACCGGTTGGTGACCACGGTACTACAGGGTCAGATGAGTTGTTAGTTTGCTTGGGTGTTTCCCTTTCCTCTCTATTAGAAAGACCTCTTTTTGGTTTCTTTGATTTTCTGGAGAGCTCACCAGAGATTTGGGGAGATTAGCTTCACAACAGAGCAAAAGTGCAAACAACTCCAGCTTTCCTGTAAAACCTGGTCTACAAGGGTGGCGAGGGTGTGGGAATGAACACATTTAATCCACTAATATGAGCCCCAAGCATAGAGGTGTTGCACTGTTGCAATTCACATCTATGATTTACCAGGGAAAGTCATGTGTGCAAGTGTGAGACTTTAGAGATCCTGTACTGATTCAAAAACATCCTTGAGAGGACAAGGAGTGTAGAGTCAAACACAGTTTAGAGCTCTTTATTTTTGTTATCATTAAACAGAACACAAACAGCCAAAGCAAACAGCCAAAGAATTTCAAATAGAGCTAAGCTCCATTTCCCCTTTCCCACTCAGTTATAACCCATGTTTCAGAATCCTGCAATGGAATTATTAAGCCCCCGGGTCCTTCAGAGTCTTCTAGCAAAAACTGGGAAGATGAGAATTGATATTTCTCATTTTAAAATCCGGATTTGTAATCAATTTCAGAGACCCCACAAACTAGGATCAGGGCCTACTTTGCTAAACGCTGTACAAACGCAGAAAGAGTCCATGCAGTGGAGAGCTTGCACGCTAATCGTTATAAAATAAAATAAACCAGAAAACAAATTAAAACAAACTTTAGGACCATTCCCACATGCCATATCGCATCAGGAAAAGCTATAACTAGGGATGTGAAGCTTATTGGATAGTTGATTAATTGCTTCCCTCCCCTTGCTGCCTCTCTCAGAAAGAGGCAACAAGGGGGGGGAAGAGGGGGTACTTCAAAGCCGCAGCTTGAACCCTGGGGCAGACCCTGGGCTCCACGGGTGCTGCTGCTTTGAAACAGCATGTGTAGCCTGGGGCCAGCTGGTGTATCCCTAGGCTGCACAAGGCGTTTCAAAGCAGCAGCTTTGGACTCCCCTGCTGACCCCAGGCTCCGTGTAGTGCTGCCTCTCTGAAACGCCGCAGGTAGCCAGGCAAAAGGCTCCTTGCGGTGTTCCAAAGCAGCAGTGCCGCATGAAGCCCAGGATCAGCTGACCCCAGGCTCCATGCAGCACCTTCGCTACACTTCAAAGGCAGAGGCTCCCTATCAACTAATCGAATAGTCAATGCAAAATGCATCAACTACTCAATTAGTCAATATTTAACATTGTTAGTTATAAGCAAAACATATTCCCCTTTTGCAGTGCACATTTAGAGACCCTATAACACTTCTCGAAAAAGTAGACATCGGAATCCCAATGCCTGGGCTAAAAGCTCAAGTGCACAATTATGTTCTGCTTCACGAAATTCCTAGAATCACAAGGTTGGAAGGGACTGCAAAGATCATCAAGTCTACATGTTGTGTTAGTCTTTAAAGATTTTTTTTTTTTTAAAGTTTATCCTGCACAGACTAACTCAGCTGCCCCCGAAGCCCCTCTTAGAGACGAAATTCTTCTTTGGTGCATGTCCTACAAGGTATCAAGGTGCTGGGCAAGTTGTTGAAACAGTACCCAGACACGAACTTGTCACTAGCTTCCCTATGTTAGCTCCTCCTAACATTCAGCCTAAATGTGACCTTTCTTAAATGCACTGCATCGCTGTCACTATTCGTACCTCCCCCCCTCCTTGGACCACCCTCAGCAACTCCTGCTGCTCCATCACGGTCAGAGGAAAGAGGCTCGGACCCAGCGCTCGCTATATGCGCTACAACCTCTCACCCCCGATATTCCAGACGCGCCCATCCCCATCGCCTCTGGGCACCCCTGCTCCCTCCCCTCGCCCTTCTGCGCCACCTGGCGCCGCGCACCCTGGGGGCTCGGCCCCTCTGCCCTGAGCCTTATGGTCAATGCAGGAGACGATCCTCCTGCACACCAACATCTGGGGCCAGCCTCGGCTCCTCCACAGCTGGGCCCCTAGCCTGCCGTAGCCTCTCCAAGCCATGCCGCCCTGTCCTGAGGTCCCAGTTCCTGTCAAGTACGTACATTTTCTCATGCTTGTTCCTGCCCTTTAGCGTTTTAGAATCAGTTAACATTTATAATATAGACAGTGAACTTCACTCACAAATACTATTACATCAAAATATCTGGAGCCCTGTAAACCTACAGGTAAACCTGCAACGCTCTAAAAATAACCCCATCTCAATCCCTGAGCTCCATGAAACAGATCTGCCCTACCTTTAATCAGGCTCTGCCCTCTGCTGTTATAGGACCTTGTGTGTCTCTCACTTACAAAAGATCAAATTCTGCAGTCTTACTTGGGTGAAAGCTCCCACTGGAATCAATCACTATGGAGCACTAATTCTGGCCCAACAAAGGTTTAAAAGATGTCCTCGGCAGAAGAGGATGCACAGTACATCTTAAAAAGGCAAGACAGTATGTAAGTTATAACCAGTGTGTCTCATTATACATCAAAGTATCTTGAGGCTGGACGATAAGATGACGACAACTGATAGGGAATGCCCTTGAAAATAGGGGAAGTACCTAAAGGGCCATTATTACATCTTTAGGGGTTCATTACATTGGGGGAAAGGAGCCCTGGGACAAGAGTTTATCAGACCCTTATTAGCATGTATGAAATAGGCTAGTTCATGGGTTCCCAAACTGGAGTGTGCACCCCCCTGGGGGGGCATGAAGAAATTCCAGGGTGTGTGTGTGTGTGAGACGACCCAGCCCCCCCATCAAGTTTTGGGCACCGGGGGCAGGAGATGGCTGGGGGGAAAGGGAAGGAGCCCTGGGAGGAGGGATGTGGGTTCAAGAGGAAGCTGGGCTGGGAGGGAGCTCGGGGAGCAAAGGGCTTTGTGGTTACCAGCAAAGTCGCGCATTAGCCCCACTTCTGTGGATGTGGACGAGGTTGGTGACATGGACACTTCTCTGCTGTGACTGCTCCCCTCCTCCCCCCACCACTTCCCCCACCACAATCTCACCTCACTAAGCAGGTATCAGGTCAGTCCAACACCTACCACTGGAGGATACAAACCAGCCGGGCCCTGTCCTATGACCCGTCCAGTCAGTGCATAGGACACCATGGCTTGCACCTAGAAGAGGGAGTGTTCTGCCCTTTTGCCAGCAGCCTCACAGCTGCTGTCCAGTGCAAAAGCAGAGAAGGTAGACACACAAAAAGACCATTTTCCCCCTCAATCGTCAAAGGATCCCAGATTGTCAAAGCCCAAAATATGTACAAATTTCCATTGATAAGCCGTGGAATAACAACTGATTGGAGAGTCTTCACCCGTAATAGTAAATTTCTGTGATTTATAATATAAAACACAGTAGCCAACTTTTACTACTTTAAACTCTCTTAACATGAAGCAATAATGGCAACCTATGTCCCCCTCACAGGTGCTTCTGCTTGCAGAGAAACTAGTGCAAGGAAGCCAGAGATGTCTCAGACAGGGAAAAAAAGAAGCAGAGCGCTGGCAGGTCTGTGCAGAAGTCTTAACCAGCTTGAAATCTGTACCTTCTTGTCTGTTGGGTTTGCCTATTTGGGCATGGGTTCCACTTTATAGTGGACAGACGCTTATCCATACATGCCTATTAGCTGCCCAGTTTTTGGTAGGCAAGGGTTTTGCAGATTGTGTGTTTCTCTTCTATGCATTGTTTGAGGGACCCATACAGGACTGACTGTTTTCTTACCTATATCGTAAGGCACAGTGATGTTTCCTTACAGCACAAGGATGTTAGGAGATTTATTTCATTAATATTTGTAAAGCATCCTTAATAAAGGCACTCAAATCAAAGTACTATATTGTTGTTATCATACTTGCTAGGATATAGAGAAGTTTTATCAAGTAATAAACTGTGCTAGAGGCAATGTGACTAAGTGGTTAGAAGTTGTATTCCCACTTCGGCTACTGACTTGCGTGAATTTGGACAAATCACCTTTTCTCTGTGCCTCTATTACCCTTTACTCTCTTACATACGTCTCAACAGAGTTAAGGGATTTGTCAAAATAGCACTGTATTTTGAAATAATCTCGAAATAAGCTACACAATTTGCACTACACAAATGGCATAGCTTTTTTTCGAGGTAAGGGTGCTGTGTAGACACAGCCTTAGCTGCATGGTAATCAAGAGATTACAATTTTCAGGCTATTTCTTAGTATCTAGCACAGTGGGTCCCTGACCTCAGAGGCTTGTGTGTGCTGTAATACAGGAGATTAAAAAAAGTGCACTATGTATGACTTTTGTATGCTCACTAATGTCAGTTGAATGTTTCGAGGCCTGCACTTAGAGATAAACTAAGTACAAAATAATTCGGTAGTTGTATTAGCTTGACTCAAACTGTCCTTAATGAAATACAACACAGTGGCTTTTCTGTATTTAAGCTACAGTATGAACAGAACCTTGGCAATAGTTAGATCATAGCTGTCCAACCAATAGTAAAAATTCCTGGTGTTTTACCCTGGAATACATTCTAAAAATGCTGGACATTTTTATAACTTATTTTAACTGCCTAAGCTAAGGAATGGGATCCACCAAACTTCTTTTTCTAGCCAAATACTGTTCCATATCAAGTCCACTGGGATATTAGTCAGGTGTTTACAGCATTGTCAGTTTAGGAAACCATGTGTTCTGATTTCTCCACTCCTGTTTGTTTGAAGAGCGGCCTGATGCTAAATTAGCCAAACACAAGCTACAGGAGGAGGAAGGATCCTCTATGCTTGCAGCTAACAAGAGGAGTTCAAAGCCCACGGGGAGCGGAACAGGAAAAGCAACGAAGAAGGCGGCCTGCCCTAGCATGCAGGGAAGCAAGCAAGCGTACAGCCACTGGCTCATGAAATCAGAGCCAGAGAGCAGGTTTGAGAAGGGAGTGGATGTGAAAGTAAGCACTGGATTGTTCTTACTATTGCTATCCCAGCTCCCCACCATATGTGCTCAGGGAGGGGGAGGAAGCGGTTTTATATCTAGAGGGCAAAGGTCTAAACTTTATGGATTGTGGGATCACAGGATTCAGGTCCTGTTCAACATGAAAATTACCTGATTTCTTTCTTTCACAACACACTCACCCTCTTCACTCTGAGTACACACAGATTTCAGTCTCTTCCAGACCTAGAAAAATCCTTAAGACGTGTCCAGCATGGCTTATGTGTGGAATTCAATGTATGTACAGGTTGAAACTCTTAACCAGGATTCTCTGGTCCAGCAACATCCATGGTCCAGCATGGATGTTGACGGCCCAGAGTCCCAGTGGAGGGCCAGCGGCTGAGATCGCTGCAGGGCCGGCAAGGCTGTGGGCTGCCCGGAGCGAGCTGACGGTGGGGCCATCCAGAGCATGGCAGCAGGTCTGTCCAGTGGGGTTGGGAGACCTGTGCATGGTTGCCCAGTAGGGCTGGGAGCTGTGGTAGCTCAGTGGGCCATGGATCCACAGTGTGGCACACATAGAGTTGACAGGGCAGCAGGGCCAGTAGGAGGTGAGGTGCTGGCCAGGCAGCAGGGGTTCTAGAAATTACCTCCCCATGTCCAGCAAAATCTCTCATCTGGGATCAGTCAGGTCCCGAGAGTGCCGGAACACGGAGGCCCAATCTGTACCTGCTAGGACTTTTAACTCATGGCAGTAGCAAGGAGCCTTTCCATTTCAGACCTGGTCCTTAGACTGCCAAAGCATTCCTTCTACAGCATAATTTACTTGAAACCAAGTAGGGAGAAAAGTTTTGGAAACCTGACTGTATGATGAATGATGCCCTAGAAATCACATTCAAGCACACAATAAGAAAAGCTTCTGTCCATGAAATCCCAATTATAATCAAGTCTAACCTCCTGTTTTTAATTTGATTGGGCAGTTCGGCATTGAAGAGTTAAAGACTCAGCCCAATCAGACAGCATGCTGGGATGGAGTCAGGAATTACCAGGTAAGGAGCAATGACTGAAGGCCTGGACTGCAAATGCAGCATTGCTGAAATATCACTATTGAAAAGTGTAAGAAAACAAAAATTAGCTTTTTGTATATGCCAAACTGCAGGCAAAATAGATGAGCTGTTCACCCGACTTGCTCCTATGCCCGAAATCTTCCCATGTGTACACTAAGCCAGTTGTTTCTGCTGCTGCACTTTGCTAAGAGCATGTATGTCTAATTATCTTGGGCAGTGGCTCCCAACCTTTTCAACCCTTTTTCAATCTATTACAATTTTATGGATCCCCCCAAACAATATAGCTTTGCCTGCAGCCTGCATGTCCCTCAGCCCACGCTGCTTCCCCAACCGCGGAAAGCAACATGGGTTGAAGGATGTGCTGGCTGTGAGAGGCTCCATACATTTATTTTAAATTCTATTTTAAAACTTTCCATAGACCCCCTACAGTACCGTCAGATCACAGGTTGATCTAGGGCTTTAAAAAAAGTCTCTCCAGACATATTCAGGCAGGCCAGACCTTTGGCAAGTCACCTGGTTTTTCTGTCTGGTTTCAAAAAGAAACAAACCCACCATCAAGCCTCATTTCTTGTCTTTCCCTTCCTCTTTTTTTCCAGAAAACCTCCAGCTAACATGACTCCAGCAAAGTTTTCCATTTTGGCGCACAGGAAAATCTAAGCACAGTTGTGTCTCTTTATAACCGAAACTAGCGTTGCTGCTTGTTCTATAATGGGGAACTTCAGACTCCTGCAGTTGCTGATTAAGGATGGTAGAACTGCTTAAGTCCAGTCACCCTTATAACCACTAAGACCCTGGGGGTTTAGTCTGGCTTTCTTTCTGAACTGGGAGAATAAAACATATTGACCTTTGTAGGAATGTTTGTATGAGCAGGTCTGAAGAACCAGTGACCTCTGCACTTCTATTTTTCTTTCCTTGTTTCGTTAAGCAGCTAATGGGACAGGCTTTTGACACCTTCCTATAGCAGACAGTGCAGGCCCACTTTGTAGCTCAATTACAAAGTGGAGTGATCTCTTATCTAATCCTCTAACAGGCTCGGAACTTCATGAGAGACATGAAAGTTGGGCAAGAAGCATTTTTCTATCACAGTAACTGCAAAGAGCCTGGGATTGCTGGAATTATCAAGGTGAGAGCCTCTTTCTAGTCCTTGCCATAGTGAAATGCTTCACTGCTGCTCTGCTGGAAAGAGCAGCACATCAACTCTTCTCCTATCTTAGCCCCAGAGAAATGCAAGTGTAACCTAATGACTCGTTGTGAAGGGCCTTTGGCAGACCACCAGTGCTGACTTATGCCTTCCCTCTTCCCTAATGGAAAGCACCAGTTTTGCAATCTCACTGGGTGCGTGATGGAGTGTTTTCAGATAGGGCAATGGATTTGTTAGATTCATACCAGAGTCCAAATAGAATCCAGCCCATTGAGTTCCACACTGGTGGGAGTTAGCAGCAGCTCTGGTCTTACTTATGAGTAATTCTCACTTTTCATTTTTAGATTGTGAAGGAGGCTTACCCAGACCACACTCAGTTTGACAAAAAGGACCCCCACTATGATTCCTCCAGCACCAAGGCGAACCCCAAATGGTCAATGGTAATGTCTTCATGCTGGGCATGAAGTATTAGATGACCTCCCTGGTCTATCAGAGCCCCTGTTTGAATCTGCTCCAGTTTGTCTCAGAGGGAATTCATTCCAGTTGTTTCCCTGCTCCTTTGCTCTCCCTTGGCCCGCCCATGCTGGAGGGTGCTGAGAGCCATATTCCCTAGAGATCTTTCCACTGCCCTTGAAAATTTCCAGCCCATGTAGTGCAGAGCTCAGGGGTTGGGAGAGGAAAATTATTCTGCACACCTTTAAGGCCCAAGTGGAGATTACACGAGGGAGTGTTCATTCTTAAAGCACAACACTCCTGGAGGGAACTATGACGCCTCTAAAAAAGGTCTTGTCCCCCAACAAGGCAATGGACTCCTTGCTCTGTCAGTAGTGCGTTTCTAACAACCATGCTCCCTCATGGCCCATCTCTCCCCACTCTCCAGGTGGATGTCCAGTTTGTGCGGATGACGAAACGCTTCATCCCCCTGTCTGAGCTGAAGGCTCACCACCAGGCACACAGAGCTTCGGGAGGCCCGCTGAAGGACATGACACTCTTCACCCGGCAGAGGCTCTCTGTCCAGCCCCTGACAGACGGTAAGAACTTCCCCCTACTGGGGAGGGGTCTTGAAAAATTCCGACAAAGAGAAAGCCCTTGCTTAGGATGCTAGTGTGTTCCACTTTTAACTTTTTCTTGCCTCTTCACCCAGAGGAATTTGAATTTGTCTTGAGCCTTGAAGAGAAGCCAAGTTAGAGACAGCACCAAGAGCCCCCATTAAGGCTGAGAATGCCTCACCCTCCCGCCAGACCCTGACTCTCAAATATATATTCTCAAACCCAGCCACATGGAAGAACCTGCCAACAGACCCAAGGGAGATGTATATATTCGTTTTTTTGCAGCACCGTACTTATTTTTAAATAAAGCTTTTTAAAAACCAGTGATCTCTACTTGACTTTTTCAGAGATAGGGAAGGGTTTTGCCGTTCCTCTTCCCTACAAAGAGAACAAGAAAAGACCTTGCCTCTTGACTCCTTTACAAGAGGCAAAATACCCAAGGCTCCTTCCACTCTTCAGGGCAAACCTTTCTGTGTGTAGAGGGACAGAGCTCTCCCAAGAGCCAGGACACACATTTAGCAAAGCAGGCTGCATGGAGTGTTTAAGACCCTATTTTAAGTTTTTAATAGTGTCATCCTCAGGGCCTAGTGATGTGGGCTGTGGTTTCATCCTCGTGCTGGGCTGGTGAGTGGAGCCAGCTCACTCACTCAAGCTTGCTCTGAATTCTACAAGAAGAGAGAAACCCACCCACTGGGATGGAACAGCTGCCAAGGTCACAAGTCAGCACAGATTGGGCTGCTGATGGCTTCACATTGCTTACAGTGGGGCCAATTCACTTTCCCCGGTCTGTTCCACATCTTTAGAGACAGCACAATAAGGGAAAAGGCTGGATTCTCCCAACCTCACGTACCCACCGTGCGCCTGGCCTGAAGAGAGGCAAAATAGCTCAGAACGGCAGCATATAAACCAAGTCAGACAAACGAATGCACAGCATTTCAAAGCCTGGGATGGCCCTTTTAATCTGACACACAAAAACAAATTTTAAAACACAGCCATTGAAAAGATGATCAATTAAGAAACATGTAAACACTGCAGAGGCTAAATTACAAGTTGCACTGCTTGGTTCAGTACCTATGCACTTCCCCTGTGAGTATCTGCCCAGGGGAGAGAGGACATCCACAGCACGGGATAAAACAACCCAGCATGGGGTGGGCTGCAAAAGCCACAATCACTCCCCAGTCTTAAAACTGTTGGTTTTTTTCTTTTTTGGAGCAGCGTGGGGTTAGATATTTCAGGTCTCCTCTCTCAAGCCCCAATCATTGCAGATGGAGCAGGTATCATCACCCGAAACACAAGGCATAACAGAAAGCAGGCTGAATGATCTAATTAGAGAAGTAAAAATGGGGGTAGGGGAGAGGCTATAGCCTAGTCCTATGACGGGGAACACAGAGGTGAGGAAAAGTTAGCAGAAGGAAACATTTAGGCGCATGCACGTTTTCTGACTAACCCCTCTCACAGTGACAAGCAGACACTGTTGGAACATCTGCCAGAGAGGGGGATTCCCATCTGCAGGCAATCTCCACATATCCCATCTCATTACTCGCCCAATACAGAGGTGGGTTCACCCATTGGGCTTCTTACCACCACCACACGCTACACCCAAGAAGAGTATTCAACCATGAAGGGATTTCAGGGGGGCTGTTTCGAGATGAGGGAAAGCAAAGTATGGGTCAGGGTGAAGCTGAGCTAGGCTCAACCATGCAGATGCCCTCTGTTACCTGAGCTGCCACCCAAGGGGAACCTCACCTGTTTTCAAATGATTGTGCATTGCTACAGCATGCCTGGATTCCTCCGAATGGGGGAGACGCAGCGTTAGCCAGCCACCGAAATAGTGTCCCCGTTTGCATGTTGCACCAGGCCCAACCACACCGTCCCCCCTGCGTGTGATTTAACAAAGCAGCTGCCTGGAAAAGGTCTGAGGGAGGAGACTGCCGTTCCAGCCCGCAGCAAGGAACTCTCACAGGCAGAGGCCGAATGAGCCACGCAACCTCACCACGGCAGTGCAGAACATGGGATGCCAGTGTTCACAGCAAAGAGGCAATTCAGGTCCCCAAGAATAGAGCAGGACTCCCCATCTAGGTTAAGAACCAAAGCCCTATCTGGTGACAGTGAAAATAAAACTGAGTTTGGCAAGCAGAAAACATACATTTATCACTGAACTACAGCAGCTTTCTTACTACGAAAACGTCCCCTCCCTCCCACCCAACCCCCACCATCACTACAGGCAGCGGGGCACTGTCACACACACAGCATATTGCAGAAGAAGCTGAACTTCCCAGCAGCAAGAGAGCAGCTCTGCATCCAACCAAAGGAAATGCCAGACTGAGAAGTAAGCCTGGCAGAACATCAATGGGCTTCTAGCCCACAGGGGAATCACTAGTACGGCTCCGGTTAGAGGGAGCCGGTGTCCCGGTTTCGTTCAGGTCTCTGCCTCCATATGCTGGTTGGCGTCTGATTACCTGCTTCCTAGAAAGGGATCTAAGAAGGACAGAACATCCAAATCCAGTCAATGGGTTACGTCTAAGAGGCGATCTCTGAACTTGAAGGGAGGGCTGAGGCCCGTCCGAGGACATCCCCGTGATCCCTCTGAAAACATTAACTGGCGTTTATTTTAAGAGAGTGAAAGACATCCCATGTGCCGGGTCCTCAGGTAGCTTCATGCCCAAAGGTCCCACCCAATTCCAGCCTCAACAGACCCAACCAAGCAGTCAATCAGGAAGCAGTGCCAGACACCCTGCTGCTTCACTTCAGTACATCCGGGGCAATAGCTCCTTACGTTATGGTGTCCCACGTGCCAGGAGTAGTACTAGCACATGGCAGGTTCTCGGGGGGATCCTTCAAGCCTTTTGCAGACGGGTGTGTTTAAAGAAGGCCCGTGTCCTCTTCTGCCCCACCCTGCTACTCTCATAATTTTCAGCCAGTCAGGGATGTCCCTGGGAGGTTTAACCACAGCACCACTGGGATGAACCCTAGGGCCAGACGAAGCAGAGTTTCATTCAGATAAATTGAAAACAAGGAGAAAGCCAGAAGGCGATGGCCAGCGTCTACTGCAGCACTTCAGAGGCTCCTGCCATGTTTCTACCGCCTCTCGCTGCAACGCTTTCCCTGTACAGCTAGAGACCAGACTGCAACTGCTTCCCACAGCACCACGTGGCACCCGTACAACCGCTCTGCCATGCCACGCTCACCATCTCCAACGTACCCACGTTCCCCAGGGCTCAGCTGCACCCGCCTGGCTAGATCATGCAGCGTGGGTTACAAACTGCACCCTAACCTCCCAGAGCCAAGACTAGCATGGCTTTGTGCTCCCCCTTTCCCTGGACCGTTTCCTCCCAGATTCCCTGCCTAGCGGCTCTGCTTGCCCACCCATGCCTCGCCTGCCCTATACAGCGTCCTTTGGCCTGTCAATTCCACACCCAGCTGCCATCTGCACTTTTAAATGTTAAACAAGGCCCCTTCCTCCCAAGACACTGCATCCATGAGCTCCCACGGCAGGGACACAAAGGCAGCGTCATCTGCTTCGCTGCACAACCTGGCTCTGCTACTCACAGGGCTGATTCAACTTGTTACATAACCGCTAGCAGCAGTCTCACGGGGGGGGGGGGGGAACCCGTCAAGCAGGCTACACCTCAAGCTTACTCTGCTCACGCACACTCCCACCTTCCAGCTAAAATGCTTCATCAGGCTCTCCTCCTACTCGCCTCACAAAGACTTGGATGGCAGCAAAATGCCTTCCTACAGGCCCGAAGTGACATACCTACCGCCGAGGCGGAGCGCCCAGTTTCCCCTTCCCCCTCCCGCCTCCCCGCAGCCATGGTGAAGGGGTCTCATAGCAACGGGAAAGACAGGCAGCCCCAAGGCCCCTGCATGTATAAAAGCAGCCTACCCTCAGAGGAATGAAGCAGGTTGGGGAGCACTGAGGTACTTTCAACTTTGTGCCCGTAGTCACTGTCGCTTGCATTGCCCCCTCCCCACCCTACTGGTCCTTCGAAAATCAGAATTAAGTCAAAACTGATATTGGTTTTCATAAGTCTCTGGTGAAATATTTTCTCTCTCACTCCTTGCTGCTGCCAACCCTGGGCACGTGGGTTCTGCAGCAGCCTCGCTCCACAGGGCCTTTCACTGCCGGCTGTTGTTTTCTGCAGGCTGGCTGGGGGTCCTGGCCTCCGCATGGGAGGACGTCCCCTCAAACCGCTGAGAGGCAATAGCTGCCTGGTGGGACATGCTCTTCCTCACAATGTCTCCTTTCCGCCATAGCACCACCTCCTGTCAGAACGCAGACAACAGGACCTGTTAGGACATGCAGGAGCTAGGCTGGCCCCACCCAGGATGTTCTCACAGGCCGACATCTGCCTAAGCTGCTGTAGCAGTAACTTGCACCCATCCCCATACGCCACTCTCATATCCTTCATCCGTGAAAAGCTTCAGGAGAGGGGTCCGGGCAGTGCAGATCTCTGAAGGTCAGACGGAAGTACAGGCTGAATCTCAGTGGTCTAGGACTCTCTGGTCCGACAACATCCGTGGTCCCGAGGCAGCTGGACCAGAGAGGTCCAACCTGTACTCCAGAGGATGAGCCAGAGGCAGCCACCAGATGCCAGGCCTGTTCTAGTACACTGGGCAGCACTGCCATGGTTAATGAGGTAAAAGACGGCCACGTGTGGCAAAGTGCAGAGAACAGAGGGGGATTACGGTGGGTAAACCCTCTCTGAAGAAAAAAATTTAAAAAATAACAATGGTCCTGTCGCACCTTAGAGACTAACTCAAAACCATTATACAGATAGTCCCTGAGGTGCACCAGGACCAGTGCTGCCTTTTAAAGTATTTTAGTTACAAACTAACATGGCTGCCCCTCTGAGCCTCTCTGAGGAGCAACCCCAAGAGACCCAGACAGGCAGGGGCATTCTCTATCCGTGCCTCAGATGATGGGGTCTCAGTGGGCACCCAGGGAGATTTCTCCCCCCCCACTGCCAACCTGACTGCCTACGGGTCTTCTCCTGCTATTTATAACGGAGCCCCAGAAGAGGCTCTTGAGTGGCTGGCTACGGCTCACCCCCCTCTCACCTGCTGTTTGAAGTAGCGCCGCACTTCCTCATCTATCAGCACCAGGTCGAGGTAATAACGCACTGAGAACTTCTTATTGATGTCCCTCATCGTGGGCGTCAGCTCGTAGCCTGCCAGGAAGAGTCTGATTGGAATGGACTCCCCTGCAAAGGGCATGAAAGGCATGAGCAGAGGCACAACCTGCCGATCCAAATCGTACAGAGAGAGCATCGGCACCACAACGGGAAACGAGAGCACACTAACTCCTGCAACTCTGTGCCCAAGTCTGGCATATCTTACCACTGCTGGATGGAGTAGTGCCCTCCACTCCCACAGAACAGAGCACCTTTGATCCTTAGCAGGGTCATGCCCTTTCTGGTGACCGTCCTACCTCCCCCCTTCAATATCACAGGGTTGCTGCTCACAGCACTGGAGAAGAAAGAGAATGGGATGACATCCCTTCTAGCTACTGACCCAGCAGCTCTAGAGCAGGAGTGCAAGTCACCCACAGCTGAAGAATATTATCCAGAACCGTGGAATCCAGCCAGTTCTGGAGCAGTAGCCAGAGGAGGTTCTGAAGACCAGGACTTGAACAGGGTTCAAAAATAGTACTAGAGAGGTAGCCGTGTTAGTCTGATCTTGCTAAAACAAAAGGAAAAACTGTGTAGCACTTTAAAGACTAACAAGATGGTTTAATAGGTGATGAGCTTTCGTGGGTCAGACCCACTTCTAGATACATTCATGGAGGATAGGGCTATCCATGGCTATTAGCCAGGATGGGTAGGAACGGTGTCCCCAGTCTGTTTGTCAGAGGCTGGGAACGGGAGACAAGAGGATTCCCTGTTCTGTTCACTCCCTCTGGGGCATCTGGCATTTTATGTTCCTATGTTCACTAAACTAGCCATGCTCAACTAACCAATTAGCCACATGTAGCTAGTGGGCTGGACACCACCGATCCAGAGCAACCAGTGGATTTGCAATGAGAGATGATGCCACCTTTCAGCGCTATGTTCTGCGGCTGGGGCCAGGTCAGTCGTAGAAGTCTATTCCTAACTGTGCTGCTGACTCGCTAGGAGCAATGTTCCTCAATTTACCTCCTCCCCTCCACGCCATTTGTAAGCTGCCAAGAAAACAAGAAGTTGGTGCAACACAATCACTGGACCCCCAAAGATGCTAGAAGAGGAATGTAAATGGCTCCCTCCCCTCACCTCTCACAGGTGCCCCATCCATGATCTCATATTTTGCTATTGTGTCGTTCTCGTGGTAAACGTTGGGGCCGGTCCCTGTTGTCTCTCTCTTGATGATATCTATCTCCATGTGTTTGATCTTGATCCGAACCAACAGGAAGTAGATTTTTCCAACAATCACATCTTTTAAGTGGTACCTGGGAAGGATGAAGCAAGACAGCCGGGATCAGCTTTGGTCTCTGCACCACAGAGCAGGAAACAAATTGAAAAGCTGGAATGCGCCTTTCAGACACTCCCCCATCCTTCTCAGGGCCAATTTGAGATTCCAGGGGCACTCCAGTCATGTTCTGGGTGCTCCAAGTGATAACTATGCATTCAGGCACAAACCTCTGGGCACCAGCAAGTCTGAGCGGGATTACTGGATGAAATGAGGAGACATATTAGGCTGGACATTCATAAAAACTTCAGAAGAACAAGATCTAAGCCTCCCGATGGCAATCCCTTGGGTAATTAAAAAAGGAGAACACTCCAGCTCTGCATGAGAAGAATGGTCTGGAATGTAACCTCAACTAGTCATTTCCAACATCTATGCCTGAGTTAACAGTCCCACAGTTAATTGTACCATTCTGGTCAACAGCAGAAGCTGTTCCGTTGGGCCTCCCGGGACTCAGAACAAGGGGACCACTAAATTAGAGGGGACCAATAAATCCACCTTCATCCCCATTTATGCACCCACCTCGGTATGTGGGTGCAACAGAGGCCTCGGACAGAACACAGTACAGGCTGGCGGTGAGCTGGGAAAGATCTAAAGCAGCAACTCTCCCAGCACATGAATGAATGAACTTCCTGCCCTTCACAGCAGGGAACAGGGAGAGCGAAGAGAAATTACAGGGCCCTACCTGAAGTTTACAATAGCCATTGCCTCTGCATACCTAGTTACGCAGCCTCTAAGGCTCCGTCTGCACAGCAGTTAGACACGTGTGGATGACCCGTGCTAGCTGACTCGGGCTAAGGGGCTGTTTCACTGCAGTGTAGGCTTCTGGGCTCAGGCTGGATCCTAGGGCTCTAGGACCCTGTTCTGCAGCCCCCAGCCCAGAAATCTGCACTGCAAGAAAAGAACCCCACGAGCTGGAGGTTTAGTGTTTTTTCCCTCCATGGAGACATGCCCTAGAAGTCTCGGCCCACACAGGGGACTGCATCCCCTCACACAGGGTTTTACTCTGCACTTACTTGGATTTGTTATACTCAAACTCAATATGCAGGCAATCCTCGATTCCCACCTCCATCTTGATAGAGGAATTGAGCTCTGGGTAGGTGCTGAGCGTGTGCACGACTATGTCCATCTCTTTGACCACATCATTTAATCTGCGGCTGACGGTCGCTCGGAGGAAATATCTGCAAGGGGAACGCCTGACCCATTAGAATCCTTGCAGACTACCTCCCTGGGCGCACAAGCCACGGAGGGAGAGGTGTTTGGTGGAGGAGAGAGAAACATCGACGGAGCCTTTCATGGAGCTGCTCAGCCCACATGGTCCATCCAGTCAGGTAAACTGCCTCTTGTAGTGGACAATACCTAGTGGCTCAGAGGAAGGTGCAAGTCCTTTATAGAGCACCTGAGCAATTGTACGTTGCTGTGCAAAGAGGTGATGTTCCAGTCTCAACCCTATGGCTTATGGCCCTAAAGCAGGGCTACTCAACTTTGGAAGCCCTGGGGGCCACAATGATACTCACAGCACATGCCAAATATATATGCAAATAGCTTCTTTCACACTGACAGACATGAATACAAAGATTAAGCCTTAAGCCGTGGCACCGGACCTAAACGTGGCCAATCAGCACCTCTCAGGCACTAAGCAGCCAGCAATTCCCACAATGCCCCAGTGCTCCTGGCATCTGGTCCCTAGGGGCTAGAAATGCCAACAGCCTGTACCCGTCTGTTCCAGCCAGCCCGTCTGCTTGCATCTTTCAATGCTCACCCACCCTGGGAAACGCCTCGCTCTTGTGGAGCATGTTCCCAGTGGAGGCCACGTTCAAAGGAACCCACCCACAGGCCACGTGAGAGCCCAAACTGCACCACGAGCTGTGTTTTGAGCAGCCCGGCCCTAAAGCATGAGAGGCGAGTACACTTATCACTGCCTATGTTAACTAAATATCCATCATAAAATCATCCAGCCTTAGCATTTGACTCAGGCTCGATGTCAAGGTGGCAGCTACCTTTACAGCTCAGCTCTGAAACAGCATTTGCCATTTGTAAACAGCAGCATGTAAGCGAGGCATTTGTCTGCACGTAGGCCACAATTAAAATTAGCAGGCCTGGTTACAGGACTACTCAAGCACATTTTACGGAATCCGCTGGAGACAAGCAAATGACCTGACATTACTCTCGGATTGCCAAATAAATTGCAAGTCGCCTTTGGTTCCCTTTCTTTTTTAAACGAGGGGGGGAAAAAGAACAACTCAAGCCTGATTTACATGCATAAGAGAAGCCATGACAGGCGGCATTTTACTACTGAGTCTGCCACGCAGCTTCTGGAATTGCACTCAGCGCCTGACATGCTGTCCCAAGACAGCACAGTATTCCATCATCACAAGTGTTGATAATTTAATATTCCACTTCAGCCCAGGCTCAGACTCACAGACCGTTAAGCTGCCGTGAGCGATCTCCGTTACAGCACAGACTAGAGATATCAAGAAGTGACTGGAGGAACAGAGGGGAAGCTAGAGAAAGAAGTGGGGGTTTGAGAAGTGGGGGAGAAAGAGGAATGACAAAAAGGGCCGAGAACTCCCTTTTCAGACATGTGGCTTTCACAGGAGTTGGTAGATTTTCCGCAGATTTTCTAGGCATCCCACACACACTGTTTGATCTGTCAATCCATCTCCATGCCCACATGCTTCAACGTGAAATTGGTCTGTACCATAACCCCCACACAAACAGCAGCTTGATGGGCTGAACACATATGCTGGATCACAATTCAGTTTAAAAGGGAGAGTCCAGTGACAGAAGCGTTTAGTTGCTAGAGAGATGTGAATTACAAATTAATTTATTCAACAGCCTTTAGAAATTCTCATCATTGCTCCGATCTCTCTACAGGGTTAACTGGGAGTCTGGTGCCTCTTTCAGCATTTTATCAACGCTTCCTCCCTGCTACAGCTGGAGAAACAGCTATAGCTGGAAGGCATGGGAAATCAGATTTTAGAAGTGATTGTGAGCTTGTTTTAAAATGATAGAAAATGTTTTTTTTTTTAACAGCAGTTCAATCACTTTTCAATGATATGCCCCTTTTAAACAATCAACCCACCTGCGTTCTGATTTCCCATGATTTCAAAGGCAAGACTCATAACCTAGAGTAGGGGCATGCGGTATCACATGGTCAAAGTTGTCAGCTCTCTGTTGGACTTTTAATTGTTTCTTATTATACTTAAGGAAGATTGTAGTTCTATCTGTTCTTCCCAATTCAACAGGCATTAGACTCTCATGTTGCTGTATTACCTGTTGGTGTGTGTTCGTCTGGGATACCTACTGTGGCTCTTGCTAGAAAGACACTGCATGAAAATTAATTCACAGGGAGAAGGCTGAAGCTTGAGATCAGGAGAAACCCAACAGCAAGAGGAGACTCACCGTAACTTCACGTTCTGCCCCGTGTACGACTCGTACGGTTTTTCCACATGTGTGAACTCAAAGTCAAACGTCTGCGACTGGGTGAACTCACCAGGACGGGCCAGGTCCTTTACCAGAGAGACAAATTCATGGTGGTTGCCCCGGTCATAGTACAGCTCTAGGAAGAAAATACTCAGTTAAGCAGTGCTGATCCCTCCCACACGAGTGGGTCAGTGTTGGGAGAGGAATTGCAGGAAATGGGCCTAAATTAAAATTTTAAAATTTAAATTTAAATTAAAGGAGATTGCCTATCTCCTAGAACTGGAAGGGACCTTGAAAGGTCATTGAGTCCAGTCCCCTGCCCTCACAGCAGGACCAAGTACCATCCCTGACAAATATTTGCCCCAAATCCCGAAATGGCCTCCACAAAGATTGAACTCACAACCCTGGGTTTAGCAGGCCAATGCTCAAACCACTGAGCTATCCCTCTCCCCCTAAAAAGGAAAAAGGAACCAGTCTCTGAAAAAGCCTCTTCCCTGTTCCATCCCTTCTCCTCTAGTGAGTAAGCTAGGCTCCGAGCAGTAGAGAATCATAGTCAGGTGCTTGACACATCTTGGGCCCGAGCTCAAGTGCCAGTAAAAAGTGCCAGTAAAAAGGAGGACCCAGTTTTGCAAATTGGTTTCTCCCCCTCACTGGACAGGTCACGTTGCTGACATTCACCATCTCCCCTGACAGAGTCCAATGTAGCGGAGGAACTCTCTTAAGGGATCGATTTAGGAAGTCTATACTCCTGGGTTCCAAACTTGGGTCTGCTACTAATTTGTTTCAACACCATCAATACTTCCACCTTCTGTAAGCTTTTCCTCCCATCAATAAAGTGGGGTCATCTTCCCAGGCCCCCAAGCATTATGTTGCTAAAGTATTGTCCGTAAAGAGCTTGAGGATCCTCAAACAACATCCTCCACTGTACAAGTAGAGAGGAAATTCGATATCCCACGAGCTCATGAAAAATATCCTGCCCACAGATAAGAGAACAAGGCAGAACAAGACAGGTTGATGTCAAAAATAACGGAGAAGGTCAGTAAATAGCACACTCCCATGATTAAATAGCACACTCCCATGAAAGCAGATAGAGACAAAAAAAACAGAAGCAAAGATTTCCAAGCTGCTGTCTGCAGCTTTAGTTGCTTTCCCCACCTAAGAAAACAAACCAGAACGTCTGTACGTAGGTCAGTTTAATCAGGTTAATATATCCAGACTACCTTCAAAGACAAGCCAGCATCACCGAACCAATCAGCATCTGGAGCTATCCCTTCATCTCAGTGCTTCCTACAGACGCCACCTTCAAGGCCTCAGCACTGGAGCTCTCACCAGGAAAAAACAAATGCCCAAAGCATCTCACAAACAGGGAACACAGAAGCACGGGACTAGGAAGCTTCTGTCATCGCTCATGCCTCCCAAAGATGGCTAAAGCAACAGTGAGAGGCGAGGGGGCCACCTTAAATCAAGTGAACAAAAAATGGTAAAGAGCCCCATTGACTCTGCACTATGTCAGCCCATACCATGTGACCCTGCAGAGAAAACGTCTTCCGGGGTAAATCCTAGCTGATGATTTTATGATGGACGCATGCAAGGCCAGGGAAATGTTAAGGAATGAGGGTCGGTGTGGAAGTGTTGTTCAAACCAGCTGAAGATAAGGCAGCAGATATTGTTCCAGCAGGTCTTCAAGCATAGCAGCGACCACGTGACTATCTTTTGTTTTCCATCTTGATCCAAAATGACAAAAAGTGATACACCTATACTCTGATCACTATGATACATGAGGATAAAGACAATCTACTCCAGTTTCTGTAGGCTGGGCTCTACGAAATTTGCCAATACAGCCCTTGGTTAGGCAGTGTTTGGGTGACCATAATTCTTACAATCTGGAGCTGAAATCACAGCTATGAAAAGAAGGAGTGGGTTGTACCCACGAAAGCTCACGATACCATCTACATGTTTGTTAGGCTTTAAGGTGCTGCTAGACTATTCATTGTTTTTTAAGTTTTTCCAGTTACAGACTAACTCGGCCACCCCCCTGAAGCTATGACAAGATTAGTCATTGTCACTCATCCACTAAATCCTGCAGCAGAAGCTTTTTGAAGGGGGATCTTGTGGTTGGGTCTCAAGAACTCAGGAGATCTGGGTTCATTTCCCACCCCTGCCACAGACTCAACATGTGACCTTGGGCAAATCACTTAGGATGTGCCTCATCACCTCGGATGTACAATATGCGATACTTTATCTTGCCCATCCTTTGCTCCAGCTTATCTCTTTAGAGTGGAAACTCACTGGGGTTGGAATGATCTCCACTGTGTTACACAGCACAGAGCATAACAAAGTCCCGATCTTGGTTGGAGCTTCAGGGTGCAAACAAAAGCATCTCTCTTTTCAAAACACCTCCATAAAGACAGAGGATGGATGCACCTTTATGCAGTGGGAAGGGAGTGCAGGCATGACATAGGAAAGAGACTCATCTCACAACACAATACCGAAGGCAATGACTGAGTTAAACTGGGAAAACACAGACTGCCGGCATACTAGGCTCCCAGTAACTACTGCCCAAGGGCTAAGATTGGCACTTAGACCTTTAGAGGAAGAACAGAGGATTCATCTTTAAAAAGACATCAGCACATCAAACTTTACAGGGAAAAGCCCCAGTTTGAGTTGTTCATCAAAATCAGTTTTCTCCATTCTGATTTTTTTTTTAAATCTACCAACATTAACGGGAGAACAGTCGAGACAGATTGATGCCCTAAAAGGAATCTGCACTGTACAAGCGTCAGAGGGGAAACTGTCCTGGATGTTCGACTCATGGGTTCTATTCCCAACCCCGTCATACTGCCCTCATCTGTGAAATGGGGAGTAATACCTATCTCCTGGCCCCTGAATGTCTAAATCCCTAACAAATAGACTAGTAGCACCTTAAAGACTAACAAAACATGTAGATGGTATCATGAGCTTTCAGGGACACAGCCCACTTTGTCAGATGACAGGAGTGTTAGAAGTCCAGATCCAAGAATAAATAAGGGAAGGGGGGGAAAAAGAGACTGAGCATACCACATTCAGAGGACTAGATGAGTTAGTCTATTACGGGAAAAACTTAAAAAACAACAAATGATCTAGTAGCACCTTAAAGACTAAATAGCTACAAGAGGCTGATAAGAACTATTAGCACCCCCATTCTTATCAGCATTCTTCCTGTTACAGTCTAACTCAGCTACCCCCTGAAGCTTTTAAATCCCTAAAATGAGGTATCTGCAAATGGAAGGTGCTATAGAAGCACACATCAATTATACCATCTCTCAGGTTAGTGGGCCTGTTTTGTTTAAAAATAACATTCCCAAGCACAATCTGGGCCACAAGTCTGGTTATAAAAACTCTCTTGGTAACTCTAACAGATACAAACTACATACATAGTGCTTCATGAAGTCAAAGTACTAGGCAAATTAAGCAGTCTTGAAAAATCCTCTGTTGATATTTCTTTTGGATTATCGTAAACACCTACAAGTCCTAGTTATGGACCAAGACTCCATTGTGCTGTGCAAACCCGGAACAAAAAATTGGTCTACTTTCCCCACAGTACTTATTTTACAAATTGGGGAAAATGGGACAAGTGAAATGCCTTTCCAAGGCTGCACAGCGTGTCAGCGGTGGAGCTGGGAGTAAAACACGTGCTCAGGTTACTCGGGAGACTTTAACCCAGAGGCAGGTTATAATCCAATTTCTGATCATGAGGTCTGATTATACATAATTAGCTGTGTGGCTTCTCAGACGCCAAAAGTGTGGTGCTAATGGAGAAAGTCAAAAGAGAAATGAAGGTGGTGGAACTGGATAAAGAAAATCATCAATTTAGTCTTCTGGGCCAAAGGACCATCAAGGAACTGTTACTCTTCTCATGCTGAAAATGTTCATCACTTTGATGTGCTGGTCAACAGCTTCTATTGAGATTTTTAGAGCAGACTGGGCCATAGATTTAAGGTCTTATCTGAAAAGCCCTACACATGCACACCACACAGTTAATAAACAAATAAGAACTGTGTAAGTTACTCCTGGGTTTAACAATTATTTTGACTCACATTCAGATGAGACCATGAAATGTTCAGTTCTTTATGTCAATGGTACAATGGATATGGCAACTACCTTTCCTCCTGCTATGGGATGAGGAAAGCCCTTAGCTAAATTGGGTTCACACAATATAAAATCGCCAACGGAAATCTCAGAAATAACAGCTCACATATCAGATGATTTCATATGGATAAGCATGCTTGGCCACCCCAATAGGATAAACAGACTCAATGGAGCTGGGAACAGCCAACTTTGAAAGGAAGGAAAGTGAATCCACAAGGGTAATGTGCTTCTAGGACATAGCTCATTATTTGAAATGTACACATACATAAGCTCATTTGCTGCTTCATGCCCTCAATACAACCACTGCCTCCCAAGGCAGCCCTGCCCATCACACACAAAGTAATCAATAGCACAGCAAAGGCAGCTAGAGATGTGGCCACATGTTAATAAAAAGGATGGGGACTAACAAAGAACGCAGCATGTACACTGTGAGGGATGCTGCTGCCAAGATAGTAACACTTAAAAGTAGCCCTGGAGATTTGAATCTGAATTTAAAAATCTCTCTCTATATATTTCAGAGCTCAGGTCACTAAATGAGCAGAAACAGGAAAATAGGATGAGAGAGAGAGAAAACAATAATGTGGAAAAGGATTTGAGTTGTCTCCCTTCTGCAGACTGAAGTGTATAGATCACATGGACCATCCACATCTAACGGGATTTGAAATAACCTCTGATAATCAAGGGACTTGTCAATGTAATGACAAGACACTGGGGCCCATAACCCCAGTTTCCAAGCATCCGATACACTTTGTAACTACATTCCCACACTTTGTAACTACATTCCCTTCTCCTAGGCTAGTGGAGACAGAGCCTTGCATTATTAACATTTACATGTATTCAATCTGGAGGAATCACTAATGCAAAACAAATAAATAAGACTTCATGCAATGCACTGCTATGTACTGCCACCCTCACTGGAGGTGTTTTTGAATTTCAGAGGAGAAAGCAATCAGACTCCGACCAGAGGAATCACTACAGAATGGCAGGCCCGGGAACGTGTGGCAACCAAGCTTTAGGAAGCAGTGAGCCCAACCCACTTCTCCATGCTGGTACAAAGTACCCCTGCAACCTCCCAATTAAAACCCCTGGAGTTCTACCATGCACTGCTCACACCCCCTCGTTCCCCTCTCACCAATTTGTCCGATGAACTCCACTTTGATGCCTTGGTGCTCCAGCCGCTTGTTTGGGTGCTTGAGGGTGAGAATGACCCGACCTGATACTGTCTCCCCATCATAAAAAAGGAAATATTTCTCCTTCTTGCCCTCTTCAGTCTTGTGCTCAGCCCTACGCCTGCTTTCTGCATCGCTCAGCACCAGCTCCAACTCCGCACTCTGCCCAAACCCAAAGAAGCTC